GGGCGGATCATGAATAACTTTCTCGTTTACATCACTGGTCGTCTGGGATTCACAGAGGCTTTTATAGGCAGCTTCATATGTTCTGCAGTTGTTTTCCACCTCAGTCTGCAGATGAGAAATGAACTTACCAACTTCTGTTGCACCTCCGAAACATGGAAGATTTACCAACCGCGTGCGTAAATTTTCTAAAAAATTTAACTGGCTATTTTTGAAGCACTGCTGTTGTTGCTCAAGTAGAAGCTGTAATTGATCGGAAAAGGTAGTCATTTTTTCTTTTCTGCACCAGCAATGAAAATTAACTGTAGGGATAATGACAAATGTTGCTCAAGGACGCTGATGATAAATCTGGACTCTGATTGGTCGAAACAATTAGCCTGAATCTCGTCCAATTGCAAGGTTCAAAATTTTTCTCCACCCCGTCGCTAATTGTTATGGCTTTAGGTTGCTGTCGATTTTTACCCTGTGCTAATTGTTGTGTCGTTGACTGGAAAATTAGAGAGCAGCGTACTTATCGATCGACTACAGTGACACGTAAACACGAACGAACGGCCTACAGTTCTGATTGGTCCTGCTTCCCTGTCCAGCTCAGCCAGTTGAGTCCAGAACACAAGCCACAACCTCTGAGATATGAATCATTATATTTCAGACACACTTTGTTTATATACCAATCAAGCACACCACATCGTACCATAAAATAGAAAACAACATTTTGTACAATACTCAACAAGTGAACAGATATCGACCAATAGAAAATGTCCATTTAAAGTCCAAGGACACCATTGTACTTAACATGATAATTATTGGTCTATTCCTCCGCATCCACAACACCTCCCCTTTTTTTGAAGATCCGGAGTTGATATCCGGATTTTGAAATTTTCTGGGTTCATCCTCCCCCACGAAATAATGTTGGGTCCTCATATCCCCAAGTTAAAATTAATTTGACTTTATTTAACACATAATTGTCAGATTGAACAGAGAAGTCACTGAAAGTGATTAAATAGTGGGGATCAATGTCGCTTGATATGAGGTCATCAACGTTTGATTCTTCTGGAACATTGTCATGGGATTTGTTGAAAATCTCATTTGTAAACAGTTGATCACTGAGATAATCAACATCTATCAAAATTGTATTAGATTTCTGATCATCATTTGATGCATCTAACACATTTTCTGGTACAAGAGGATCTAGATAATAAGATTCATCAGAATCTTCTGTTGTTGACTGATGAGGACCGTCTGGAGCAGCTAGACTCAGTATACTGCACGATTCGTTTCCTGTTTCCTTGTGAGAGGGTACTGTAATTAATTTATGAGCATTTAATAAGAGATCTTCCTGTGAGCTGGGTACATCACTGTCTGTACACGTTTCAGGAACAGTGGGATTTGAACCCACGACAGGGAATGTTTCTGAATTTGACATTTCTGGACAACTGGGCGGATCATGAATAACTTTCTCGTTTACATCACTGGTCGTCTGGGATTCACAGAGGCTTTTATAGGCAGCTTCATATGTTCTGCAGTTGTTTTCCACCTCAGTCTGCAGATGAGAAATGAACTTACCAACTTCTGTTGCACCTCCGAAACATGGAAGATTTACCAACCGCGTGCGTAAATTTTCTAAAAAATTTAACTGGCTATTTTTGAAGCACTGCTGTTGTTGCTCAAGTAGAAGCTGTAATTGATCGGAAAAGGTAGTCATTTTTTCTTTTCTGCACCAGCAATGAAAATTAACTGTAGGGATAATGACAAATGTTGCTCAAGGACGCTGATGATAAATCTGGACTCTGATTGGTCGAAACAATTAGCCTGAATCTCGTCCAATTGCAAGGTTCAAAATTTTTCTCCACCCCGTCGCTAATTGTTATGGCTTTAGGTTGCTGTCGATTTTTACCCTGTGCTAATTGTTGTGTCCTTGACTGGAAAATTAGAGAGCAGCGTACTTATCGATCGACTACAGTGACACGTAAACACGAACGAACGGCCTACAGTTCTGATTGGTCCTGCTTCCCTGTCCAGCTCAGCCAGTTGAGTCCAGAACACAAGCCACAACCTCTGAGATATGAATCATTATATTTCAGACACACTTTGTTTATATACCAATCAAGCACACCACATCGTACCATAAAATAGAAAACAACATTTTGTACAATACTCAACAAGTGAACAGATATCGACCAATAGAAAATGTCCATTTAAAGTCCAAGGACACCATTGTACTTAACATGATAATTATTGGTCTATTCCTCCGTTCCCTCAACGCTATTGTAAATAAACGTTGGAATGTAATTGCTTTATTTTGCTAATCCATTAGAAGTGAGATTTGTTCTGAACTGTAGATTGTACATTTTATTTTGTTAAGGAGTTTATAATCATGACAAATTTACTGATCTTTGTAAGCAGTATTTTAGATCATTTGTTGTCTATCTGAAATGCGCGCTAATCTTTTTCGCGCACTGTCAATAACAAATGTTTATAAGTGTGCAGTCTAACCAAATAATTATCTGAATTTTGTTACTTCATTTTTGAAAGAGACCGCATGTTTCTTATTCAGAAACTGCAAATGCCTGTAGCGTTAGCAGCCTTGAATAAGTCAACTGATGTAATGAATTCAGTTACAGGAATGCGCAAGTGACGCTTCAACAGTTGACATGCAGCTGGTATAAGTTTTCCTGAAAAGGAATTATCTGTGTCTCGCGACAAATAATTATTTTGTTGCGACATTCGGCTGTGTATTTTTGAACCCGCACTTTCATCCGATATCCAGTCCGATGATGAACACTGAATATAGATCTCAGCACGGACATTTTTCTAAAGAGTTTGTGCAGCTTCAAAATTCGATGAGTTGTCTCAAGGAAGTTCGTATTGATTTGTTCAAGGAGCATCTCAGCAGGGCTAAAAGCATCCGACCACTTTTGTTTCTTAGGCAACAAATAATCTCTTACATACCGGTAGAAAGTCCCTTTTGATGCATCAATAAGTGAAAGGTAAACTTGGAAACTACAAATGCGTAATATTTTGCGTAAATATTTTTATTTACCTTTCCACGCTTTGAGCGAACATCGAACGGAAAAATAGTCGTATAATTTTGGATTATAGCCTTCACGGTTTACGGGTTGATGTCAATTAATGAATAACCTACCCCCTTTATGACATTACGAATGAGGTGTACGCGACACAAAGTGTGGTTATAGTTTAGATACGCTTGCGTTATAGCAGCAGCTATTGCAGATGATTAAACAGCAACAATACCAACCAACTCATGACTTTTAGTTGAGCGCCGGAAGAACGACATTAATTGAGGAAGCGAAGTAGATTTTTGTGGCTTGTAACGACAATACAAACAGGTATTGCGATTAATTTCACAAAATCGTCTGATCAACAGTTGCGAAGAAGAAATACAGAAGACATTTTTCTTAATCTAATTCCTAATCATAAAGCCCAATAGGCGACATGATGTGAGCTTTCAGTTTGACGTAGTCATCTGGCGTTTACAATTTAAATAGGCACATTGCTTACCAGTAAGGTTGGTCTGTGGGAACACTTTGTGGCGCATGTTAGAAACATCTCGAGCATTCAGACGCTTTCCATAAGAGTGGTAAGCGTAATGCATAATTCTGAGTGCTGCTGTCCCCAAAATCAGAAGGAACCTCCCTGTTTCAAATTCAGAGTCCTTTACCTGCGCATCCAAGAGTTGTTGTCGTACCTCAGGGAATTACACTTATGATTGTGATGAACATTCGCACGAACAACAGTCCAATAACTTTCAATAAACTTACAAAAGATGAAGGCCAGACATTGAGTGTTCATTGAAGTTCTTCATCAACAATATAACAACACCAATGAAATCACCTCCTTCGTCTAATCGGCTGTGACGATCCGCTAGGTGTTCTACACCCGTTTCTTCAACATACAAATTTAATGTATAACTTTTGGCTCCTATGGAAATGAGAGTCTCGCACCGCATAAAGGCAGTACATAGCACTTATATAAGTTATGATGGCGCTATTTAACGCTTCGAATGATTGAAATACTACCAAATACAATATATTCTTAAACATGTTATCTGGAGCCGTGACAATGTGAAACGACAGAACTCGTAATTTGTACTTTACTATCGTCCATAATCTGAACAAAATGTTCCGTATCCACAAGTACTTATACTTTATACCAGTTTTAAGAAATAAATAACCAATTATAACGAGTTCAAAACTATTCATTTAATTGGACGAAAAGGAAAAGTTGTAAAATGGGATGAAAAGATTCATCAACAAACACAAAATCCGCTGTGCGTTTAATGATATTGCTTTAGTTCGATAGTAGTACTGCTCTGATAATAGAACAAATTCCGAGATTGCAGATTTGTTATAAAGTAACTTCTTAATCCATAAGATCTTATGTGGAGGTCATATTATTGTCTATTTCTACTCGTTTTATCTCATGGTGTCCAGCGTTTCTGAAGAACACATATAAGCTGGGGATAGAACGACATATTTAATGCGAATAGTGACATGTAGCTATACCTGCAACGCGGAGTCATGTCATTCTCGTCAATCGCTCTCGCGTTCACCATTTTTTATCTTCTCCAAATGTTACATGTTGAATGCAAATCTCAGTGATTACATGTTCAGCTCCGAGAATCGTGTGGTTAGGAACCAACATCACTACAAACTCATTTTGAGGCCAGTGATCTCCAATAACATCTACATATGGAAAATTATTTACTGGTTAACAATCATTTAAAAAGTAACTCAGTAGTGCGTTTCAAATGACTAGACAGCTCCTCAAATAAAACTGATAAAAAAAAGCCCATTAGGAGAGTAGCAAAATATTTTTGTATATTTTAATTATTCACACCATCAATTGTCAAAACGATGCTATAATTTTGCGGCCTCAGCACTTCAGTTGAAAACTCAGCTCAAACCAAAATTGTCATTGGATAAAAATCTTTGATAACTATTGAAAAGTGACAGCTACGTCAATAAGAACGCCGATAAGATACAATGTTTGTGGAGTCAGTACAAAATACCATAGTTAGTGAAACATTTTTAACATTTCTAGTGTAGAGATAAATAAATCCCCAAAATAAATAGTTCTGCAACCCTTGGACATTTGATTCTGACAGCATATAACGACGGGATTATAAGACAGCGAAAAAATGACACGAAGTTAAGAACCTCAGAGCAATTTGACCAACATCACATGCCTAATAAAGATTAATATCCTTCGTGAAGAATCATAAACCGCCCATCAGTATTCTTCATCGAACGGTGTCCTCAAAACTTTTTTCCAGCTGCTATTGATCCCTCTAGTGTCTGCTTCCAATTCCAGCTCATTGTGTTCTTTAAACTTTTTCTTTCCGTTTCTCTCCGGGATTCCAAGTTGGCGCTTGCCTCGTGACGCAGTTTGATGATCTCCGTAATGTATGTCCTATCCATCTTCAGCATCTTTTCCCAATTTCCTCCTCAGCTGGAAGTTGGTTTGTTCTCTCCCACAGTAGGTTGTTGCTGATGGTATCCGGCCAACGAACATTGAGTAGCTTGTTCACAAATAACTGCGCTTTTTGGTGATGGTTATAGTAGTTCTCTAGATCTCAGCTCTGTACAGTAGATCTGTCTTGACGTTCGTAATGAATATTCTGACTTTGATATTGATTGACAGTTGTTTTGAGTTCTATATAATCTATAATTGCAGGATTTTATTATTTACTGAATTACTTGATTACACAAACATTGGTACAATAGGGCACCAAATATAAATGCGCCACACAATAACAATCAGGCCGGTAGTAGTTATCATTGAGTTGCGTGAAGGCTGAAATACTGCCCGGGTGTCTAAACCGAAGCACGATTCTAGTAACACTCCCATTGCTTTGCAAATCCATGCCTCCAAATATGCATCTTATACCCCTGATTACCACAGCTTAAGCATATGTTGACGTTCTTATCTTGCGTAGAAGTGGTCTTTCCCATTGTTCTACACTGTATATTGAAAGCCTTGTATGTTGGAGATGATATCCTCGAGCTCCAACTATTCTGTTCCACAATCTGAATGAAAACGCACTACAATCATCAATCTGACGTCTTTCAAATAGAAAATGAGATATAAATACCAGCATTTAAGACCTCGAGATCTTCGCTTCGTCTACAATGATTCGTGTCATTGAAAGAACGGAGACAGGAGTAAACGTAAATCTGTTCTCTGTGGAACTAGTGATGTTGAGGCCCTATGGCTCACATTCACTCTGTTTAACATGGTACAAAACATCTTATTATCTATGTGGTTTTGGAGCTAGGATAACTGAAACTCGTCTTTACAATCCTCTCTACGAGAAAAGCGTGCACTACCATGTTGGAGTCTTTCGTGAAGTCGAAGAGTATTACCTGAATAGATGTCTTTGGTCTTAATAAATCGTCTGGCTGTCGCACGCTGTGGGTAGATTGGTTGCACGTGACCTGCCTTCGTAAACCTGTTTGGCCTATAGGAAAAATATTATTGCTATCTATGTATTTCTACATTGTTCATCGACCAATCCTTTTATTATCTTCGATAATATTGGAATTATTGCAACTGGTCTGTAGCAGTTCGGATCGTCTCTGTTCTTCATTTTAAAATCTAATGCCCCTTCTAACAACCACAGCAACAATCAATACAGGCATGCCAAATGTCCGGACAATGTGGGAAACTGGGAGGACCAGTCAAATAGCTAGAGATGTGAGAAGATACAACTTGGTGGTTCTCGGAATCAGTGAAGCCCATTGGATCCAAGCTGGACAGAAAACGACAGATTCAGGAGAGATGCTGATATACTCGGGTCACAAAGAGGAAAACGCTCCGCACACTTAGGGAGTTGCTCTGATACTGTCCAAAGAAGCACAGAAAGCACTCATAGGATGGGAATTTCATGGACCCAGGATCATCTAAACATCCTTCAAAACAAAGGAGAAATTACAGTGAATAATATCCAATGTTGTGCACCCACCAATGATGGCGATGAGGACGATAAAGGTCAGTTTTACGTGAAGCTGCAATCGATCATAGCGAAATGCCCAGGAAAGGACCTGACCATTCTGATGGGAGACCTAAATGTCAATGTCCGAATGGACAACACCGGATATGAAAATATCATGGGACGACATGGACTAGGAGAAAAGAACGAGAATGGCAATATATTTGCACAATATTCCCCCCCCCACAAAACCATACACCAAGCCACATGGATTTAACCGGATCACACTGCAGAGAACCAGATCTATCATATTTGCATCAATAAAATGTTTAGAAGGTCAATGGAAGATGTGGGAACCAAGAGAAGAGTTGATATAGCTTCAGATCACCACCTGGTGATTGCCGAGATAAAAATGAAGCTAAAAAATGCTGGACAAATTTAGATATTGGTAAACTTAACTGATTCAAGATAACTCTCAGCAACAGGTCACAAGACTTACAAGATATACTCAGAGAAGAGGAAACCACCATAGAGAATAACTGAAAGGAGGTTAAATAGAAAATGACTTCAACATGTTAGGAGGTTCTGCGTCGCAAGAAGCATCATCATAAGGAATGGATTGCTATGGAAACGTTGGACAGGATACAAAAAAAGGAAGAACAAGAAGATAGCAATTAACAACAACAGAACAAGAACAGCAAAAGTCAAAGCACAGGCTGGATACACAGAAACAAAGAAGAGAGCGTACAAGAGCATTAGAGCTGACGATTAGAAATATGTGGAAGATCTAGCAGTGACAGTGGGAAACGCTACAAGAGGAAATATGCGACAACTATATGATGCAACCAGCAGGAAAATATAATAAACTAGAGAAGCCACTGAAGAACAAAGAAGGTGAGCTAATCACTTAAATTCAAGAACAGAGGAACAGATGGGTAGAATACTTTGAGCAACTCTTGAATGGACCAGCTCCATCGAATCCATCAGACATCGAGGCAGCACCTACAGACCTTCCTATAGATGTCACTCTGCCGACGATCGAAGAAATCAGGATGGCCATCAGACAAATCACAAGTCGGAAGACAACAGGATTAGACAACGTACTAGCCGAAGCACTGAAGTGAGATTTAGTAGCAACTGCAAACATGCTCTACGTTCTATTCAACAAGATTTGGGAGGACGAACAAGTGTTGACAAACTGGAGAGAAGGATACCTCATCAAGATACCAAAGGAAGGAGATCTGAGCAAATGTGAGGACTACAAAGTCGTGACTCTACTATCAGTACCAGCAAAAGTTTTAAAAAGAGTGTTGCTGAACCGGTAAAGATTCAGTAGACGTCCAGCTTCGAGATCAACAGACCGGATTCCATAAGGATCGATCGTGCACTGACAAAGTGCGATACTATGGATCATCGTTGAACAATCAGCTGAGTGGAACTCGTCACTATACATCAACTCTCTTGACTATGAGAAAACGTTTGCCAGCGTGAATAGGAGAACTTTGTTAAACCTGCTTTTACATCATGGTGCAAGCGACAAAATCGTTAACATCATACGAATTCGTAACGGAATACACTGAGGATTCGTGCAAAGAGCACAGTTGACAGACGCATTCCAAGTAAGCCAAACAAGGCTACCCACTGTCCTCCTCGATGCGCTTCAAAGTTACCAGTGCAAGATTTTCTCGAAAGGCATTTTTGTCACAGAGTATGACTTCAAATCGTAGGGTACCAGCACTCCTAAATCTTTTTCAACTTGAGATACTTCTAGAGAGGAGTTTCTTAAGTTGTAGTTGCAGTCTGAAAAATGTCTCAGATGGACTACTTTACATTTTGAAGTGTTAAAGATAAGTCCGTTGTCATACGCCCAACTTTGAAGTCGAATCAGATCCTCCTGAAGTGCCTGTATATCGTCTTGGTTGCGTATCTCTCTCCAAAGTTTCACGTCGTCGGTAAAATTAATAAGTCTGACGATACCTGTTGTGGAAAATCTTTTATACAAATCAAAAAGAGAAGAGGTCCTAGTACCGAGCCCTGAAGGACCCCACTAGGACACTCCATAGCCTGAGAGAAAGTGAAGTTAACCCTGACCTTAAAATGTCAATTTTTTAGATATGAAGTGAGCCAATCAATTAGAGGTGATTTGATACCAAATCGTTTGAGCCTAATAATAAGACATGTGTGGCTGGACATTTTAAAAGCTTTTGAGAAGTCAAGGTAAATGACATCAACCTTAAGCTTGCGATCAAGGATGTTTGTCCATCTGTCCACCACAGTCAGCATGTTGGTCATACAAGAATAAAACTTCCTGAAGCCATACTGTTGAAGTGAAGATAAGTTTAAGGATAATAAATAGTCGTGTATAGCGTCGCACATCACCTACTCCACAATTTTTGGAGGTATAGAGAGAAGAGCCACCGGTCGGTAGCTTGAAGGTTCGCTGCGTCGACCTCCTTTGAAAATTGGTGTGATGTGAGCCAGCCTCCAAATTTCCGGTAGTTTGCCTCGGCTTAGAGAGTGTGAGAACATCACGCTAAGCGGTGCTGCCAGGAGTGAAGCTGCCTCCCTCAGTATAGCAGAATGAACTATATCCGGGCCAGGAGAAGTGTCTTTTTTACGTGCTGCAGTTTCCAGACACAACAAGTCAGAGCTCAGGTTTACTTTGGAAAGTCCTGTGAAGCTTTCATCAATATAGTTGATGTGGGCCGATTGGAATGTCCGAGAGTATAGTCTAGCCGAAAGGTTAGCGGCTTCACCGTCGTTACTGGTTAGCTTTGATACCTGAAACCGTACTGAAACAACTAGAATTGAGCAGTTGCTTTATGCAAGCTTGTGAAAAGGTCACAAAGTCACGAAATAGACTGTTAGGTCTTAGTTTCGATTTCAAATTGTGTTGATCTGAGGCCTATTTTATTTCTGGTTGTTTCTGAGTTCATAGCTTAACAAATGTTAGTGAATCGTGTGCACTTGCTGGGCTGTTGACTGGCCTCCTCCCTCGTTCTCTACTTTTCTATCTCTCCTCAATCACACTATTCAGCATGCTCCCCTAGCGCACAAGTACCTTCTGGCTAGACGTGAGCCGTTCAATTGCATATTGAAAGCTATTTGAGCGCGTAGACACCTTCAGGGTCGTTTGCTGTACAAAGTATGTGGTCTAACTTGAGATATTTTCTGGTTGGCATATTTTAATTTTTTAAGGTTTAATTTGATTATGAACTCTTCCGTTTTTTGGTTAAAGTGTCGAAGCACCTCTGTATGACTAAATTCTCGATTCATTCAATGACTTGAAAATGTATTAGTTTTGTTTCCTAAGTGTCTTTCAAATACCGAACCTATCACAAAGGAATTCTTTGTACGTTGATTGGCTTTTAAGGTTTTACGGTTATAGGTGCTTGGCACTTATCTGCATGAATAAGTGATGTGTACTGTGATATTGGTTACACTAAACTTCACGCCATGACAACTTCATGATTATTTATTCGTTTAGTGTGTTTTCCCGATCGAAGCTGCTACCTTGACGCGGTGGTCGGGCTTGCCTATCGTGATGACCCAACCGAGCTATATTGGCTGGAACAGATGTTCCTGCATGTTCTACCATGCCAGGCAGGTCGATTGGTGAACGGTAAGACTAAAAGCAGCAACTCAAGGTCTGAGGGCGAAGTCGTACTGCTGACTGTAGAGGGGTGTGACAGCAGTAAGGTGTTTCCCTCGGACATCCAGCATGACAGCGATGCTGCCTTCCCACAAGGAGGGGTGGGGTTAGAAAAGGTCAACCCTAAAAATGTCACACCTCACCTTACCTCACCGATTTCCGTCTCCGGCGGTAAGGCCCTTTGAAGAACGGAGCTAACACGTCAAAAATCTTCCACAAAAAGGTCGTGCGCGACCGGCCTCAAGCGGTTGTCCCTTGGGCTCTGCGGTCACGCTCCCAGGTCGTCAAGACCAACACTAATCCAATTTCCTTTTCAGGTTCCTCAAGAAATACCCTTCCACGGTGTGGGCAGCCGGGAAGTGATATCAGCCCTCATACCCGTAACAGCACAAGAGACCAAGGTGGTCACATTCAAATCTTTCCTACACCTTCTAATACCTCTCTTATCTCCCCGACTAACCCTCCCACGTCTCTTTATCACCTCGCACCGCTAGGGCAAACGATTCGAGTACGTGGAACGCCATTCCTGGTCTCCTGAAACCACGCTCTAAACTACACGTAGGAGCTTTTAACGTACGAACACTTTGCCAAATAGGACAGCAGGCTTCCTTAGCTAGGACTTTAGAACCTCGCGCCATCGATGTGTGCTGCGTCTCCGAAACGCGCATACAGGATCCATGTAGCGTCATTCATTTGACCTCACCATGCCAAAATAAAGAACCGACTCGATTTACGCTTCGTGTATCTGGAAGTTCCGATGCTGCTTCCAGTGGCCTCGCTGGTGTAGGTATAGCATTGAGTCGTAGGGCAGAACTAGCCCTCTTAAACTGGATCCCAGTAGATAGTCGTTTGTGCGCTGTCCGACTGGACGGAACAGTAAGAATCCGGAAAGATAGGGACACTCGTCGTTGCCTCTTCGTCGTCTCTGCCTATTCTCCCACTGACTGCAGCTCAGATGATGTAAAAGATGAGTTTTACAGAAAGCTTTCGGACCTTCTCCGAAAAGCTAGACGCTCGGATGTAGTATTAGTGGCCGGTGACTTTAATGCTCAAGTAGGTAAACTAAGCGATAGGGAAAGACACCTAGGTGGATCTTATGGTGTCGTGGCTCAAAGAACAGATAATGGCGACCGTCTGTTGCAGCTGTGCTCAGATAACCGCCTGTTCCTTGCAAATACTAACTTTAAACATAAGGAAAAACATCTTTTAACATGGCGACCCCCTAATTCGTCCCAACGTTGGACCCAAATAGATCACATCGCTATCAGCCACCGATGGAGGGGCTCGATAGAAGACTGTCGCTCATTCTGGAGCACATGCCTAGATTCAGATCATGCTCTAGTGCGAGCGCGTATTTGCTTGCGTCTTACTGGACGTAGGAAAGACGCTGCAAGAAAACCTCTTAGGGCCCTACTTAATGATAGTCAAACGATGAACTCTATGTCTTTGGCAACTACTTTTATCGCTCCGAAAAACAAAAACAATCAGTCGATTCAAATAATTATCATTACTATTATTGTCATTATTAATACTATTATTATTACTATTATTGTCGTTATTATTATTATTATTATTATTATTATTATTATTATTATTTTCCACATTATTCACCCTCCTTCATACTTATACAGCGGCTCGGCTTTGGTGGAAATCCGACTGTATCTAAACGTTCTCGAGTCACTGTCCGGTTGAAAGTTGTATGTTACCATCGAATATGAGTACTGAAGCAGTTTTTCTGAAACCACGTGCGCCATTCAAACTGGCTGCCTTCAACGTTCGCACACTTATGCAGGTTGGTCAACAGATAGGGCTGGCTATGTCTTTGGAAAGTCTTAATATTGATGTTTGTTGTCTATCCGAGACCCGTATTCAAGACTCTAGCGAAATACTACAAATTCGCTCTACATCTGTCACTTCAAAAAGCTTGTTTTACGTGCGCTTATCCGGGGACCCTGTGGCATCTTCGTCTGGTCTTGCAGGCGTTGGTGTCGCACTAAGCGCTAGAGCTGAGACAGCACTAGTCGATTGGATCCCCGTTAACAGTCGGTTATGTGCTGTTAGATTAGAGAGTTCCGTCAAAGTGAGAAGAAATCGGCGTGAGAAACGATGTCTTTTCGTCATCTCCGCCTATGCCCCGACAGATTGCAGCCCGGATGCAATCAAGGATGAGTTTTACCACCAGTTATCTGTTCTTCTCCAGAAAGTGCGTTCGACAGATATTGTAGTACTAGCCGGAGACTTGAATGCTCAGGTCGGGCGTCTAGGCACAGAAGAGAGTCGTTTAGGTGGCTGATGGGGACTCGTTGGTCGCAGGTCAGATAACGGGGACCGTCTACTGCAACTGCACAGACCACAACCTGTTTCTGGCTAGCACTAACTTTCGGCACAGTCATCGCCGATGTGCCACCTGGCGTCCTCCCTCTGCATCCCAAGCCTGGACTCAGATTGATCACATCGCGATCAGCTACCGCTGGCGTGGTTGTGTACAAGACTGCCGCTCCTTTTGGAGTACCTATCTGGACTCTGACCATGCCTTGGTCTGCGCCAATCTTGCCTTACTTTTCAGTGACCAACGAAGTGACCACCACCAAAAGATTGATGTTAGCAAGCTGGTTGCAACTTCTGTTGCAAATAAGTATCGAACCGAGCTAGCCTCTAGGCTAGCTACCACTCCACCGAAAAGTATAGATGAGCATTGGTTGCAATTGCATGACGCCATGAAAATGGCGGGAACAGTCAGTTGTGGGTTTGCGAAACGTCCCGCTTTTAAGCACTGGGTTTCTTCTGGTTCCTTACAACTCATTGAAGCCCGTCGGTCTACTCCGGGTAACCGTGAGTTTAACCATAAACGAAGGATGTTATGTAAGGAAATCGGGCAAAGCTTGCGTAAGGACCGAGAAGCCTGGTGGTCGAAGCGTGCTAATGAGTTGGAAGCAGCAGCTGCATCTGGTAATTACCGGAAGCTCTTCCAGCTCATCCGAGCCACTGGCAGCAAGAAGTCTGGTGTGAGTGAAACAATCTGCGAGGATGATGGGATGCCAATCACTAACATCCATCGACGTCTTGGACGGTGGGCAGAATTTTTCGAAGGGCAGTTCAACTGGCCTGCTGCTCTGGCAACATCGGTTAGACTGTCCTGCCCTCCATGGCCGGTGACGACTGATCCACCAAACGAGGAGGAAGTCCGCAAGGAACTCCAACTCTTGAAGCGTTACAAATCACCTGGCCCAGATGACTTACCTCCGGCTCTTTTTAAAGATGGTGGTGACTTTTTGACTAAGGAATTGACGACGTTGTTTACAAAGGTTTGGGAACTAGAGAGTGTGCCAACGTCATGGAATGAGTCGATAGTTGTCCCTATCTTTAAAAAGGGTTCACATCGTTCCTGTAACAACTATCGGGGGATAAGTCTACTTCCGATTGCGTCCAAGCTATTGGCTTCCGTCATTCTTCGTAGGTTGTTCAAAACCCGAGAAAGATTGACTCGCGAGGAGCAGGCTGGGTTTCGTTCTGGTCGAGGATGTATTGATCATATCTTCACCCTCCGCCAAATGTTAGAACACCGCCATACTTATCAAAGGCCAACAATCGTAGTGTTTCTTGACATCAGGGCTGCCTTCGATTCGTTGGACAGAACTGTTCTCTGGGATTGTCTATTGAAGAAGGGTGTGCCTGAGAAGTTTATTAACATCCTAAAAGCCCTATATAAAAACACCTCAGGCAGAGTGAGGGCATACAACCACCTTTCTCCATTGTTCCATTCGAGTAGTGGGGTTAGGCAGGGTTGCCCAATCTCACCATTCCTCTTCAACTTTGCCATCGATGACATTCTGGAAACAGCTCTGATGAATGTAAGTAATGGTGGTGTGGATCTGTTGCCTGGAGAAAGACTTCTCGACCTTGAGTATGCGGACGATATTGTCGTACTGTGCGATAATGCCCAAGGCATGCAATCCGCACTTAATCAGTTGGCAATCAGTGTCCGTAGATATGGTATGTGCTTTGCACCTTCGAAGTGCAAAGTACTCCTACAAGACTGGCAGGATTCCAATCCTGTACTCACCCTGGATGGTGAGCAGATAGACGTAGTCGAGAAGTTCGTGTATCTGGGTAGCTGTATAAGTGCTGGTGGGGGTGTGAGTGATGAGATCAATGCACGAATAGTGAAAGCCAGAGCGGCTTATGCCAATCTGGGCCATCTATGGCGCCTTCGTGATGTTAGTCTGGCCGTAAAAGGTCGGATCTACAACGCGTCGGTGAGAGCAGTTTTGCTCTATGCTTGTGGAACCTGGCCTCTCCGAGTTGAGGACGTTAGACGACTCTCTGTGTTCGATTATCGCTGTCTCCGAAGGATTGCTGACATTCAGTGGCAACACCATGTCAGTAATGAAGAGGTTCGGCATCGTGTGTTCGGGCACAGAGATGATAACTCAATTGGTGTCACCATCTTGAAACACCGACTTCGGTGGCTTGGACATGTTCTCCGAATGTCGTCCCAGAGAATTCCACGTCGTGCATTATTTGCCGACTCTGGGACTGGTTGGAAGAAGCGGAGAGGTGGTCAGTGCATGACATGGTGTCGTGGCATGAAAGAAAGCTGCAAAGGACTGGCTTGTGTTGGTCCTTCACGACTCCCTGGTTGGGGTCTGAGAGATGGTGCAACACAGTGGCTAGAGACGTTATCAGATATGGCTCAGAATAGAAGCCAGTGGCGATCCTGCTGTAACCTTCTTTTACTTTCTTCATAAAAAGTGGTTCTGTCTCCCTTACCTGAAAGATTTCTTCCGATTGTACCTTTGCGTTCCCTGATTACTAGCACATTACCTTACACCAACCTCTTCGTTATTGTTCTCTCTTTTTTTTGTTGCGCTCCTTAGCTTTTTTTTTCTTTCTTTGTATTCCTCTCGAATTTTCATTGTTTTGTGTGGCGCATATATATTGGCGCTCTCCTGTACCAATATTCATGTGTCCAAATAAATAAATAAATAAATATAAATAAGAGTATATTTCAGGAACAACTAGGAAAACAGTTAGGCAGCCATGTATGTGATGCCCACCCCGATGCAGCATGGAATGATATCCGAAAAGCTGTGGAAACAGCAGTGATATCTGCTAGTAAGGTAAACCAGAAGGTTAGGGAGCAACACTGGATCTCAGCAGCATCTATCTCACTGATAGATGCTCGGAAACTCATTCCACCTGGCTCTGAACATAATGAAGAGCGGAGTCAGCTTAAGCGCAAGCTGACCAGAAGCCTACGCAATGATCGCGAACAGTGGTGGGTAGCGAAAGCAAGAGAGATGGAAAAGGCAGCGGCAATAGGTAATAGCAGACAATTGTTCAGACTCGTTAAGGAAACCGGAATTAGGAACCCGACCGTTAGCGAAACAATCTCAGAGAAAGATGGACATATTATTCATTCTCAATCCAGGAGATTGGATCGATGGGCAGAACACTTTAGGGATCAGTTCAACTGGCCTTCAGCCACACTTCGGTTTCCCACGATCTCCAGTCAACCTGAATGGCAAGTTAATGTAAGTCCTCCGTCCCTTTACGAAGTTGAAAAAGCCATAGGAAATCTGAAGCGAGGGAGAGCAGCAGGCCCTGACAGGTTTACTCCTGAGATTTTTAAGGATGGTGGTCCAGTATTAGCAATGAGATTAACCGAGGTCTTAGGTAGAATTTGGGAACTGGACGTAATCCCATCTGACTGGTCTCAATCACTGATTGTGCCAGTCTATAAGAAAGGACAAAAGTCCTCTTGTGACAATCACAGACGAATCAGTTTGACTAATATAGTGTCTAAAATATTAGCTTCAATAATACTTCGACGCCTAATCAAAGCTCGTGAAGAGCAGACTAGAGAAAATCAGGCTGGTTTTCGACCTGGACGTGGTTGTATAGATCAGATATTCACACTACGTCAGGTTCTAGAACACAGACACACATTCAGACACCCCACAATGGTAGTATTTCTCGACCTTAAGGCGGCATTCGACTCTGTTGATCGTGAGGTTCTATGGCAGTGTTTGTCACTGAAAGGAGTACCAAAGAAGTACATTAACCTTGTAAAGGCTCTCTACTCGAACACAACTGGTAGAGTGAGAGCTTATGGCGAACTGTCATCAGAATTGATTACCTCAAGTGGTGTTCTACCGGGAGGTTCACTTGTTGACTTAGAATATGCAGATGACATAGTTCTATTTGGTGAAGACGCTGACAAAATGCCAAGTCTTCTGACCACTCTAAGCAACAATGCAAGCATGTTCGGCATGCGATTCTCCTCCTGGAAATGCACGATGTTGCTTCAGGATTGGGTTACATCGACACCCGAACTAGTGATAGGGAGTGAAGTAGTTGAGCGTGTCGATCGCTTCACTTATCTTGGAAGTCTGATCAGCCCTTGTGGTCTGGTGTGTGACGAAATCTCAGCACGGATACAGAAGGCTCGACTAGCTTTTGCCAACTTGCGTCATTTGTGGCGTAGGCGAGATATCCGTCTATCAACCAAAGGACGTGTTTACTGCGCAGCAGTTCGTTCCGTCCTACTTTATGGCAGTGCAACATGGTCGGTAAGAGTAGAGGATATTCGTAGGTTACTAGTATTTGATCATAGGTGTCTTCGAAACATTACTCGTATATCATGGGACCATCGAGTAAGTAACACAGTTGTTAGGAAACGGGTACTAGGTAAGGATGGCAAATCAATTGATGAAGTAGTGAAACTTCATCAGTTGAGATGGCTGGGACACGTGTTACGTATGCCATGTTGGTAGGTGTAGACTACCTGGTTGGGATCCTCGAGACGATAGCAACGGATGTTTAAAGACCTTGAATGACATGGCTCAAAATCGTTTGCAATGGCGCAGGTGCATCCACTCTTTGTGTTCTCCCAAATCCTAATCTCCTGATTCCTCTTTGTCTCTTTCTTTTCTCTTCCCAAATTTATTTCACTAGATTATACTCTTTGAATAACATCTCCAAACCCTAATCTTTCCGATTACTACTTATACTCGTACTACCTCTACCACAATGGGATTTGAATCGACAACTGCATCTCTGTGCTAATGTGGTATGGCAACTCGCACTGATGTACGAATGTACGAAGTTCTACGTTGTTGCTGATTGACCGACTGAAATCCTATGATAGCCAGTGATCAACAACGGGTTCATACGCCATTTGTTTCTTTAGGACCCTGGGGCCCGTGTGCGGAATCAGGGTTTTCCAACTCCCTTAGATGGATCCTCTATATCCACCAACCCGGTTAAAGCTTTGAACATTCACTTTTCGTCCTCTCAATTTCGTAAACAACATTAATGCCGCGGGTAGGTCGTTAGTAGGAATTCCTTGGCAGTGGTTGTACGCACGTGGCCACTTGAGAGCATTTCAAGAGGGAGAGCTGACTCCCCACGTCTGATGCATATACTTCTGTGGTATACATCTTGATTATCTCATCTCTCTGTGCTGATGAACCGACGCGAACACATCTCACGTTATAATTCACCTATGAGTAACTGTATATTAATAACTGTATTGGATAGTTTGTTCAAGCTGGTAGTTATGAAACCATAGTTATATTTTTGCTTGCTCATTTGATTTTTATCATTCTTAAAATTCCTGATCAATATTTGAGAATTTAAATTTAACGAAATACAACTAATCCCAGTGGGTTTAAAAATTCGACGAGATACAAACAGGAACTCAAATTTGAAGCACACAGTATGAAATTGTATTGTGTTGTTATTACAGATTTACCCAACATAAAATATTTGATTTTACATTAAATGTATCACTTATTCAATACAATGTCATTTCTACCTACAGCCCCATCTCAAAAGCCGTTTACCTCTATATTCTATAGACGTCATTTTTTTCATGATATCTTTCTAATGGTGTCGGGATCATTAAGCAACTTTTCTTCCGCAGTCAACAAAACTGCAGGTGAGCTTTATTAAGAATTTTATGTTGTAGGATCTGCAAATGCATTATGTGAACTTGTAGAAAAGTCTCAAGACTTTCTGATTCGTAATGTTCACTCATTAGACTTTATTTTGGATGACTTTGATATTGTTAAATTCGGGATTTTACATGCAGCTGTAATGTTAGTTGTCAGCTATTTCATACTTACAGCAGACATGCCAAATATATTTCACAGTCAGTTGTTGATAAAGAGTGGCTAGTAATCCAAACTCAAAACCTCTTCAATCTCTGTAACGCGGAGTCTTTGCAAAAAATTCCATCTTATGGTAGGTATCTGTTTGTAACTAATATGTAGTCCGTGTAATTTCACATGAATTTACGAACTGCCTGATTAATATGGGAATTCCACACAAGGGAATTAGTTGTATGCTCACTGCTATTCACAAACTTCAGAAATGTCCGGGATATCTTACTCCACTGCACTGTGATCTATGCCAGGTAAATGCTTATGTATGTACATGGTGTGCAGCTTGGATTAGCTGCTAAAATGTTTAGTCCCACTCTTCCAATTCTCGATATCGACATTTTAGAAATTGATAAAAGTGTATGTTTTACACGTTTGTGGTAACCAGTTTACGTAGAGTACAGCCCTTGAAGCTAAAGATTATCTCCTATACTTTTACTATGGAGGGATGATTTATGGCGCAGTAAAAAATTGGGAAAGAAGCCTACACTTCTTTGAATTGGTAAATTTGCTGTTCATTTAAAGCATATAATTTTAGTGTTTAATTATCCCTGCCGTATCATCAAGCTGTATTCTGATTGAAGCTGCAAAAAAGATAATATTAATCTCCTTGATATTACATGGGAAAGTGAGTTACTCTATTTTGTACTTTTAATCACATAAAGGTGCTTATTGTATACATTCCAGCTAACTTAATAGCACATAGCCCACAATTCACCTGACGAATACAATAGTTTGTGCCAGTAGCTATTCTTCTTGATTATTAGTGTTACGAATACTTAAAAATCTTTCCGGATACCAACAAACAAATGGCACAGTACTTATGAATACTGGTCTGCTAAATCGAGACCAGTTTTTTTACCGGAAATTTCCCGTAGAGGGCATTTTACCAACAAATAGGAGAGTTTTACTTATGAAATTTTCAAGTAGCATATTGTTAGTTTGATACTTATTGGTTCTGTATCAAAAAGGTCGTCTTAAACCCGATTGTCTCACTATTTACTAAACCGTGTCAGTAGCATGAATAAAAATATATTGACCAGATTTAAAGTCTGACTAGTATATAGTCCGAACTTTTGTTTACCTAGCCTTCAGGGACACTATGAGTTTACTAATGATACTAACCGGCTCCCCAAATTAAAGTTGGTGGAGATGAGTTCGAACACAGGGACTATCAATTATATTATCCCTACTTCTAAGTGACCATCTGGCTATTATCACTAACATTATCATACAAAGTAAGACCTAAAGCGGAATAAAAAGACTTGTTTCTTATAAACAGGCCAACATACTAATGTTGATATTATATTATGAAACATGAGTGATGTCAAAGAACATTACGATTAGTCTTAAACATGAAGAGTGCAAACTATATATCTTACAGCGATCACAGCTATGAATAATGGTCCTTAGTTATTGGTGATTACACTTTTGGTGTAATTTGTTGATAATAAGCGATCAGTTTTTCATGGAACCGTTCAATAACGAATCTTTAGGTCTTGTTTTCTGTCATGTGGTTGACTTCAGTTTTCGGTAAGTTTCTAAGCTATTTGAACCAAATTGTACTTATAGTTTGCTACATCTTATTGCCGTTAACTTTTAGTAAGCCTCCTCATATTTCCAATACTTTCAATGCTTCTAGTTCAGTACAGTTCTTGAAACTCCGGTTGCATATTTCATGTCTCCAAGGCCTTGGAAAGTGAGTGTATTGGTTTTAATCTTCTAATTTTATTATTAGCCATCAGTATGAATATAAGCTTAACGATTTTTTAAAGCAATATGTCTGCGATGATTTCTTTGCCTGAAGATCTGCATATTTTGGTGATTCCATTGTATGAGAACACTATTGGAGTGGAATTTATGATATTCACTAATAACGGCAGATTCTCACCATTAAACAGTTAAGATGCTCACTTTTGCTCTGTTTGCTTGTTTCTTTACGGGAATTAAGTAATGTCTTCAACCGGTACCCACTGATATATACCAAGCTTTTCATATCTATCGTGTGATTCCCCACAGCCATGTTTATACATCTCCTCAGCGTATTAATATGGTAATTGTGTTTAATTACCATAAAAATTATTCCGTTTTCATAACAGTCCTAAGGTTTTTCTTTTTATTTAACAGGTGCAAAGTGCATTCTATGTTTTCAGTCATAGTTTTCAGAAGCAACTGCACTTCAATATTTTAACATTTAAATAACTACTGATTAACAAATACTAGACTGGTGTGGTTGAGTAGATAAATAAGCGCAAACTGAGCATCGAAATTCGTCATACATAGTAATACACGGTCCTAATTTCGAGTACAGGTTTCAGTAACATGGTAAATTCGTTTAGGAAAACTATTAAAAGAAGTACGTTCCTCTAAAATCTTTCTGTCGATAAAATCACAGGACTACATTAATTTGAATCACTCTCAGGTATCCACTCTACATCTGACAGGTGGATAACATATAAGAACAATATTAAATTCTCACCTAGGTTGTTCTGAAGACAACATTTCATCAGTCTCATTACCTTACAGAACCGTAACATCTGTTCGATCGGGGTCAACGAATTTCCTAACAGGTTTATTTTTGATACAATGTAAACGAATATATCCGATAAGAGTAAATCGTCACTTCGATGGTAAATAACTTATAAATCTTTAGTCAGATTCTCGAGTTCACTTCTTTGTTAACATGGTTCATCGATTGACCACAACTTTTATGGAAGCGTATTGTAGAACAAGTTCATGATACAAACCTGTACAGGTCAAGAAATTACAAAATATTAGGTATGTTTTTGAAAATTCAGTGATTCACCGTGGTCCGATTGTTTATATCTACAGTTCTCCGACTACTCAAAAGTTTCAGTAAAGTCAGGGATGATTATTCCTGAAAGCATTCAGTCTTATTCTAATAGATGCTGTCATATCAGCGGGTGGTATCGAATCACAACCAAAGAGATCTTGATAAACGAAAACACAGGTGCATGGGTATCTTTGAAATCTCATGTAACTGATGTCGACTGTATTTATACGTTTTCTTTCATATAACCACTCATTCATAGTCATTGCTAACTTCCAAAGTAAGGACAAACGTTGAATGGGCGATTAGAGAGATTAATCCAACGACAGAAGCAGATAAACCAAATTGCTTCTAAACATCGTTTGATAAGATCGATGGGAAAATATTCTAGTTTCTGTATCTTCTGAGACTCCAATTATATACTGGTTGGCTATCGTGATGGCCCAATTAAGCTATAGTAGTAGTTAGAAAAAGTGATGTTTTAGATACTGCCATGCCAAAAAATGTCGATGGGAAGTGGTAAGACTAAAAGCAACAAACCTATTATCCGAAGGCGAAGTTTTATTGTTGATAGTACTGCGGTTTGATGACTGCAAGATTTTCTTCTTTGATAATCAGCAGCTCCATCAACACTGCCCTTCAACAACAAAAGAGAAGGATTATAAAAAAACTCACCTTCAAACAAGCAAACCTCATATCATCCCGCATATATCCGTCACCAGGGGCAAAGCTTGAAGGGACGAAGATGTCGGATCAGAAACTCAAAAAGCTGCATGTGACTGGCCTCAAAAAACTCTCGCTTAGACTCTACGGTCACCCTCTAAGTTCTCAAGACAGACCACTATTGACCCAGTTTTCTTTCCAGGCATTTCGTGAATAAATATCTTTTAGTAGCCTGAGAAACCTGAAACTGACAACTACTCATATACCTCCGACGACACTTGAGCTAATCTTGTTCACGACTAAATCTTATTTCTTAATATGTTTCTATTTGTACCATAAACTCTTTTCCGAATTCGAATTATTTCGCATCTGCTACAAGCTTTTGAATTCATAAAACACATCTTCATCATTTCTGTCTATGCCATCGCCGACTGCATTTTACCTGGTGCTAAAGTTCTTTCTAAATATTTCTCACCTTAAAAAACCAACTCTTTAGGTATTATAATCTTAACTGGTTATTTTAATGCCTGAGTAGATAAGCTAAATGGACATAAAGAATACTTAGATAGGTCCTTTGATTTTTCAGTCCAGCGAGCAAATCAAGTTGACTAGTTGCTTCAGTTATTCTCGGACAACGATTTATTTATAACGAAAACCAACTGTAAGCTGATGATCTCCAACATCAAGATAACGATGGACACAAGCAAACCATATCGTTATCAGCCGTTTTTCAAGAGACTTGATAGAGGTTTATCTCTACTTCTAGATCATATGTCTAAATTCCAAAAATAGTCTATCGCCGGCTCGTGTTTGCCTGCACTTACTGGTTGCATGTATGTTTTGAAGTTCAGCAATTCTCAATTGATCAAAAGTGACAAAATAAGTAGGATATTCAACGTCCTCAACTATCGTACTCCATATTCTAAAATCAAACAATAAAACAAGTACTTAGGCAACGCTGTATTTGTAAATACGAAGTAGACCCAACCACTATTTTGATCTTGACTGAACACTGAACATAGGCTATGCATTCTTTTGAAGAATCTTGAGAAGGAGAAATACCCTGTACGAACGCAAATATCATGATGGGTAAACAACCACGTCAAGTCAGCAGCTATGTTGGAGGGAGAATAGGGAGGTTTGATCGAGTTAACTTAGACAAAAAACCTGCTTAACCTAAAGGAGGATCTCATTTGACCTTCGAAAACTGTCTATTTACTGTTTATTTCCAAACAACTTAAGTGGAAAATCAACATTAGTGACTCAAATAGCTTGTAACTAGGGAGAGCCAGCACATCGTACAGATTATTTCCTAGTGTATGTAAGTAGGTCTGTCTAGTTTAATTATTTCACTTGACTGAGGTCCAAGCTACAGTTTGGAAGCTAAAGGTAATCTTATCAGACTGGTGTTTTTCGTTTTGAAGCACACACACCGACCCCCAGTTGTAATATTGCCTCAATCTGAAGGCAGCATTTGACTGCCGCCTATAGTACGAGTATACTGGGCAGCAACTTGGTTTGTCACAGCTTTGAAACCTAATTTTTAAAAGTATGGAAAATTCGTAGGTTACTAGTATTTGATAGTAGACGTCTTCGAGGCATTGCTCGCGTATGTCGAGACCGTCGAATGCGTAATTGTGAGGTTAAACTCAGGTTGCTTGAGAAAGATGGCGAATTGGCTGGTAATATTGTAAATCCTCATCTTCTAAGGTGGTTGGGGCGTGTATTACATATTCTCAACCACCGCCTAATTTAATGTACAATAGTAGCTGGAGTAGCAGTAAATGAGAAGGAAACTGTGGGTGGCTAAACCTAGAAATAGCATCAATCCATCAAGTTATTGACTGTTATGCTCAGCCATATTAGTAGGTCCAGGCCAATCTGGTTAGGGTCCACGTGATAACAGTGATCAGGGTTTGGAGACGTTGGATGTCGTTGCTCAAAACCGTTCACAGTGGCAGAGATGCCTTTACTCGTCACCTTTGCGTAACTCAAGCTTTTGCACTATTTCATGCTTTTTTAATTAGAATCTGTAACTTCTTTTGGATCGTTCTTTCCTGTATCGTTATTTGTGGCACTTCTATTATTTCGACATTTTTGCAGTTTTGTTGATTAATTCATTTTATTGGGATAATACAGTACACCAGCTTGCGCTAACGCACGTTTGTGCTAAATTCTGTTGATCATGATCGACTGAATCACCATGAAATTTTAGTTATGTACGGTTTCCAGGTGAACAATATTCATGTTGTGGTTTGATTTTCCACAATTTACATTGATCCAGAGACAATATCATGAAGATACACCCAATTCAGTCCTGTTTTTTTCTTTGAAATCCTTGTATATTTCTATGAGTGGTAATCTAGTATCCTACATTACTGTGTACATCTCTATCTATCTTATGTCTATTTCATTCAGACGATGTTACGCTGTCGCAGAATTTTCAGCTTTCACTTCAGTCCTGTTGTCTAGTTCTCTTAGGGATCATTTATTTGTTGTGTTGGGTCTTTTTTTGACCAGCTTTTCTAGTCGAAATGTTTGCCTTAAAAGTGCTATTTCTCACTGGGAATTCTAGAAGTTGATTTACCCCACTTATCATCAAACTTGGAGAAATTTTATTTGGTGATTGTTTGAGGCCTTCAATTTCACTGTGTTTAAAGAGAAATCTAACAAATTTTCCAGTATTTATTTCCCTAACTAATCACTAAATTTGGTGGGATTTCAACAACAAATAGTGTTTGAATTTTAAGTGTCATTGTCATGCTCATATTACTGTAGGGCTTTGGAAATTCAGTGATGATGATATAAGTTTCAAACTAATAACAAAGAAGAGAGAAATTAGTTCGAAATAATATATCATGTGGCTGAGTTGTCCAAAAATACCCCTAAGTTGGTCGTAAGTTTCATAGAAATGATGATGGGTATGTCTAAAGAAACCTCATGAATATCGTTAACCGTTTTGGTTATTATAAACTGTTTAATAATCCATATAGTGTTGACATACGAATTAGAATATGATTTATTAGTGACTTTTTTGTTTTTTAGTCGTGAGTTTTGCTCTTGTACATAAATTCATCCTTGTCTAATCTGCAAAAACAATTGCTGCGTCATCATTTTTTAAAAAATTTCTGCCTATTTCAGTGCTACTGTCAACCATATTTAGAACTAGCAACAGCATTTCGATCTAACAATCCTGAGGACTTAACTAATTTTGTCGATCTTCATCGAGAATTATTCACAGCTGTAAGTTTTCATACACACGTAAACTGCCAGTCTTTCATGTATAAATAGCGTAAACGTTTAGCAAGGAACGAAGTACAAATAAGAAACTAGGAGAGATAGAACTTTCTACCTCTTCAAGTTAATCGCAAGAGTTATTCATCTGAATCAACAGAATTTTCGTAATTGATATTTAATGTCCGCTAATTTACGTAAAATTTGTGTTTCATGTTTTTTCCCAAGTCTGTCTTATCTTGTTGTTGAATCGTGCACTTATTCCCCAACCATATTATTAATTTTGCTTGATGAATATAATTCTCAGTTTGATGAGGTAGTATGTTTGTAGTTTATTAGAACTAATTTATGCTGAGAATAGGCTATGGCGGATTTCTTAAAAACAAGTTTATGAATATTGTCTGGGTCAGAAACGTGATACATTAAGCATTTTAAAACATCTTCAGGGAACCTTGTGACGAAACCCTCCTGGAGCTTGAAGAAATAGGAAACATAACATCAGATCCTTGACCTGATTAAGGCATAGATGTCTAGGTGAGTAACGTCATCAATCCGTTTCAAACATGCAAACTTTCTAAATAGTTCCCACATGTAAATTTTTTACAAGATATACTTTTTAATTTTCCAAAATACTTCGAGCGAAACACGAATTATGCATTCATTAGAGCATGAGAGAGGGGCTTGTTTACAAATCTGATATATTCCCAAATATTTTAAGAAAATTAGATTTATGGGGAAAGCCGATCAAGGCTTTTTGATAAATTAACGTAAGAACGCTCCAATCGGATGAATGGAAATAACTGCATACGTTAAAAAGAGAATCACTGGGTATACTAGCAGCAAATGAGAATAAAGTACAGTTAAAATGCACGTGGATATTTGTTACATAAATATCGTCATATTTATTTGAATGTTTTGGAATACGATTTACAATGAGATTAAATTACTTCAAATTCTGAAACACATTTAGGTCAACACCACCTGATTATCAAGCGAATTCAAATCACAGCACTTTGTATTATTTATTGGCTCATATACTTATTACAGATCTATATAATTGGCTGTGAATTACATTGAAACTCCAAACGCCATTGATACTAACAGTGGACCCAAATCAAAGTAGGTTCGAAACTGCTACTTAATAGCTCTAACTCAAACTCCAAACCACTGAGCAACTGTCCTAGTTTCTGTTACTGGAACGATTCTAATGGAAAATCGGAAAATCATGTTTTAATACCAAATAATCGTCATTTAATTAATGTAATCAAGATTCTTTTAACCCAGTCCCATCAAAATTGTGATATATATTCGTGCATGAGAAAAATTCAGTGTAATCGGATTTTCCTGTGAGAGATTTGCAGTGTTGAACTTATTATTTTAGAAGTAGCCTTCTGATGAGCTCCCATTCTTTTTAGTTTGTGTTGTTACTGGGATGGCTTCGCCTAAATGTTACAGTTTCTTGCACAATGATAGGTTGTTATCTTTTTATGTAAAGTCGTATGAATTAGTTAATGCATGTACAAAATATAAGTAACTCGTTGAGATGTTTGTATATGATGATGATTATCTTGAAAATTACTATGCGCGTTATTCTGACTTCAAAAGAACATATTCACTTGCGTGCTTAGTCTTATTCCTTACTCGAGTGCTGGGCGGTTCGCGATTATTGAAGTACGTATTGGACAAATCTGGAAATTATTTGTTCGTACATTAGACTAAAAAAAACACTACTACTTATTCTAGTAGTTCAGAAATTTAAGTGGGCTTGTATTCTGTGTTCGACTTCTCTATCTTTAACACATTGTGTCAAGAAACTTCTTAAATTTTCTACTTGTTATTTTTGGTTTTTTAGTTTTTTTATTGGAAACACCTAGATTGTAGTAGTTGTTTTATATACCTCTTTTTAAGCTAACATTGTTTCCGTTTTACAATAGGATTTCAACTTCGGACTTGTAAAACAAGTGATAAAGTGCCATGGAAAATTTCGTATCCAGAGCTTAACAAAAGTAGGTTAAATTTGTGCACACATTCGGTCACACCAACTAAATGTATTTGGTGTTTTACACACGAAGCATATTCATGGTCTTGCATTTTGTTTTACATTTTAATATCATTTCGGGAAATATAAATATTTCATGTATGATAAACACCTTTGAACTGCAAAAAATTCCAAAGATACTTCGTGGAACTATGTAATATAACAAGAACGCTCCCTCACTATTGTTTGGTGTACTTAGTGAAATATTATTGTTTGCATTTTGAACACAATATTATCCACAGATGAAGGTGATCACTACTCAGTTGGTATAAACCTAACTACTGGCACCAACTTCAAACCTGATCTTACCCACCCCGCGTTCAATAGTTGTTTAGCGATCTTACGAGCTCTTTATTTTCATCATTGATTAGTTCTGTTTTATCTTAATACTAGACTACTATAACTACTTTATTGCTTGAATTTTTTGTGCGTTAATTGTACTTCTATTTTAAAATCACACTCATTAATGTAACCGAAGGACCTGTATTATTACCAAGGTTAAACTTAATAATTCCAAATGTATTGAGCATTCTGTGGAAGTTAATGGTTGAATTCATGAGTAGATTTAAGCTAGACCAAAGTGGGAAGCACTGGATGACCGTTTCGCACAAGTACGGGACTCCTCAGCAGCGCGCATCCATGATCTCGTACTCGGAACTCCGGTCTCGTGCGCGAACGTTTAACCTCTAGACCCTTGTGCTGACAAACCACGATTCTGAGAACAATCATCATGTGCTAATTTTGATTGATATCAATATATATTTCCTGGAGTTCGAGTGAGAAACTGTGACCAGTGGATTTCAACCGTGTCTGTTGTGCGGCAGCTACTCACTAGTGGACGGTCGCACAATACCGTGGATTGGTTGAAGTCAGACATTAACACCGTCGGGTGCCGACACAGTGGTCTAGAGGTTAGGTGTTCGCGTGCGAGTCTGAAAGTCTTGGATTCGAGTCCCGCGCACTAGCGAGGAGTCCCGTAAAACGACGGAACGGCCGTCCAACGCTTCCGGGTTCTCCATTTTGGTCTAACTTAAACCCGCTCATGAATTCAACCATTAAATTACTACAGTTTCCACAAACCCTTATTCCGTGGAATCTTTATAGTAAAATAACATATTTGTGATGTCCCAGTTGGTAGGAATTGTTAATCAATAATAAATCAGATGCAATATCATAGGTTGGTATTGTAACTGTATTATACCTTCAGAGCACAACAGAAATCCAACAAACCCACAAATCACTAAGGCTTTTTATGTCACATCTAACACTATTCGAAATATTTTAGTTAATATAAAAGATAAAATCTCCATCAGCTTAACATAAAATTGTGTCTACAGATTGCGATGCTTTCTGTGTTGAAAAGTCTCGTGAAATTACAGCTCTGTTTTCTTTTTACACTTAATCTTTTTTACTGATAATTACTACTACTCCCAATTCTTCAGAGTAAATAATTGAGTGAATTTGGTCTTTTGGTTTCCCACATTAGACTTTGTGGATGAAATGTCAGTTACCTCAATGAAGAGGTCATTCGAGCAAAAGTAATTGCAGTCTTTTTTTTAATAAACTTCTCCTTCATACTTATTAGCAGCTACGAAAACATCATAACCCTATGACACAAAGCTGTGCTTATGAACAGTTGCATTAATCCTATTCCTGTGACAAAGTGTGCGAATCATCTAATGCCATGTTACATGTGTACAGTTTGCTTCTAGTTTTCGTACTATGGCTGTGATCAAAATACGAATATGCTTGCTAAAATACAGTCAGTCATTAGTAATCCTTCATCATTTCACAGTACGGGCATAAATCTGTCAGGTCTTAGGTTCGTTTTGTCATTTATCCCATTTAGATAACGAAATGTCATGTAAATCGTAAATAAGAAATTTTTTGTGGTTATTTTAACGTACGTAAGGATTGTTTCAGTTTTACCACACGGTATTAATTAAACTAATCCATTCCGTTAAATGATTGGGTTTTCAATGTTATCATTATCTTCTGAATGTAAGTTATTTTATTGATGTATTCTTAATAATCTCTTGATTTATTTACAGCTTTTTTAAAGCAAGACTGTGTGCGATTTCCACTAATATTCTTACCGTAACGGTGTAGCACTTACGTCCTATAATTGTAGTTCTCATGTTATTTTGATTTCAAAGCATAACTTTGTTATGATCTCTCCTATTACGACCCACCTACCCATTAAATTAGTATTCTTCGGACTCTTTACTTCACTCAACAAGTCCGTAAACCAGAACATGATCGAACAGGAACTTAATTAGGTTCCAAATAAACACGGCTATTTGTTAGCCAATCAGCGTGCCCCAACGCAATCTTGCACGGGACGTGCCGTATTGACCTAATCTATCTCCCGCTAACATTCATCTTTTGGGGCTTTAATTTTTTTATAGTCCCTTTTTACTTGAAAATAATAGAAACCATCCTTTTCGATTCATTCAATTGGTAGACTTTTATGACACTATCCCTGACCGATGTTGCCATGCGTATAAAACTTTCGGGAACCCAAGAAGCGGAGAAACAGATCTTAGATATGGTAAGTACAATTTCAGAATAACCGCAGCAGTAGTAAATTAATAATAATTGTTATTATCTAGACGTGTCTAAAAATTTGACCACAAAATACTGTTCATTCAGAACTAAGCACATGTAAGTAACGTGAAACTATTAATGCGTAATCTAATTGTGTTCGAGCATTCTTTAAAGATCAGGTCTTCATTGCTTTTCAGTTTTAGATTGAGATAAAGTTTACCTTATCCGAAAAAAGTCCATTTTTAACTTCTGAAAGTACTATTGATATACAGATTATTGGAATAAAATTTCATTTTCCAGTTGCACTACATCTTATGGAATAAAATTTCAGATTACTATGTCACATCACGAACGCCTAAGCACTTCGACTAGCAATAGACGCACCTTTCGTAATAAATATCTTTTCATACTAAGTTACATCACATTGGAGCGAATTTTGTTCTATAGCTTATTTATATTGAAGGCACCTAAATGACACATTGACGATTGCTTTTCACCGAGGTGATTTGTAGTAATTGTAATATGATTTGTTGTTAAACACTAAATATACTTCAGCATCTTCATGAGTTTCCGACTGTACTCCCATAACAAAGCACATCGTAAATAGCTTCGTTTTCCTATTTGTACTTGCTTTTTCCGCAAAGTGGACTAGCAAGAGTTTTACTCTGACGAACTAGAACTTAATTTGCGTAGTCACATTGTACATTTGACAAAAGCAGATTATGTGGTGCTCACAATGTTCAGGAAGTTCGTTGTTCTCGACGCGTGAAATCCAAACAATACTTTTTTGGCGAAAATGCCTGGCACTCTAAGTGAAGATCCCATGTACATTCATGTGTGAGTTTATGACAAAACAACCAGTTTTTCCATTTAAATAAAACTGTTAGTGCATGAAAATATTTAGAACATATCGTCAATATTTACATGTTTTGAAATAATGACAAATTCTCTATTTTTATTGATACATCTCATATTAGATTAATTCAAAAGCAATTTTTGCTAACATTGATCAACAAAATGGGACTGTTCATTTCCTAGATGATCCCGAGCAGTATGACTCGATCAAAATGCTTCGAATTCTTCAGGAAAAAGTAAGCAAGTTATTATTTGATACGATCGACTTTCAGTTGACTGATGTGACATGATTTAACTCCTAAACTAATGTCAATTTCAAGTTGTTCAGATCTTGTGTTACTAGATATAACCAAGGACTAGATAAAATCAAGTGGTATGCAAAAGATGTGGAGTATTAGCAAAGTTAGCGATATTAATACTAAAATGTATTTAGGGGACAAAAGTTCGACTGAATTTAGTGATAAGCACTAGTGTCATAGGTTTCTGATGCAACTGCATGTTTGAACGTTATTCCCGCCAATTAGACAAATCTATGCTAGCTAACACTGAACTTCAAAGCAATAAATGTATGTTGAATGACCTCAACCTCAATAGACAACCTAAGATTTCTACGTTTTACGCAGCGCTAAACTTAGTATCGCTTCAGAATATCGATGATCGAATTCTACCCACATATAGGTCTTCTTTGTTTACAACGGTAGAGGGAACAGTTGGGAGACTAAAATGTTACTTCCACTATGACCAAAAACCAGTTCGCAATATTCCAGCAAATAAAGGAAGCCACGTTCATCAAAAACATCTATTCACTCACACAATGGGGTTCAAAAGACTACGTTTTTAGGCACCCTCTTCATCAAATAAAATTGCCTTATCTGCATACATTAGGAAAGTGAATAGCCCTGAAAAACGCTACTTTAGTTTCTCAGTATATATAAAAATTCCACTCTTTAACTTGACCAAGTTTTCAGAATACCATCAAAAAATTACCGTCCTAATGCCAGTAGACCGCCACAGTGGTGATGTGGCTAGTATATTTACATTCCGAGACCTGGAGATGAAGTAAAGATATGATCGCCTGTTTCGAGATTCGATCATGACTCAGTGATCTAGATTTTTAATCATTCCTGGACGAATGTGAACAGGTTTCTAGTGTTTCTACTACCTCTTCTATTACTTTCGTTGTTCGTCTTAACTCATTACTGTTTGCCATCATTGTGAATGTATTTTCAAGTGCCCTACTTTCATTATCTTTTTCAAAACCTGCCCATGAATCTCCGAGCATTTATCACTTTAGTAGTCTTTTTATACCTTCTAGGTTAGCAAATAACACTACTCAAGATTTACTCCGCACACTTCATAACACAGGGCAGGGATAAAGACGAAAATAACCACACTGACACCAACAAAAAACTAAGAATGAACAAGAAACCAGAATTTTTTATTAAAATCAGGTGTGGCATTTCCAGTTTTTCAGTCTTTATTCTTCAACTTTTATTAAGAATAAACTGAATGGACTGCTTTATCATGTGAAAATGCAATATTAGATGGACAAGTAGACACTGAAATCTCTAAATATGCGATCTATATTTGTTAGAAAACAAACGAATTATTCGTCAAGATAATTTACTTTTTTTGGATTTGCTTGATTTTTGTAAATATTTTCATATTTGTACGTTTTTTAGATAACAGAATGTGTGAATTTGGAGAAGCATTTTATGCAGTTAACTGACCGGCTAGTGACAAATCCAAACTATGCTAAACGAGTACGTTAGCGTTACATTTTATTTAGTACAAATTAGAGATCATTTTTACTTATAATGGACATGGTTCTATGTATTGTTATATTAACCAAATGTACACAACTCATTCGTACATTATTAAACTTCAAACCATATATTGCTAGTTATTTAGAGATTAATAGATCTGTCTACCACAAATAGGTTCTAATACAAACTTTATTCTCAGTCCATGTAGCTGAAGGGTAAACTAATATTAAATTTTACTTGAGCTGATGGTTCTGATACGTTTGAACGGATATATTCGTATGAGTAATTTGGTACCTCATAAATTTAGACATTGGGACAAAGATCTTTCTAAATAACTGACAAAACATCATTCTTTAGTTCAGCTAACTGGCTACAAAAAACGATATTCTGTGGTATTCTTTTGCACTAAGCATTCAAATTACAACTAAATAAGACTACTAGAGTTAGTACTTCAGATTGAGGCGTTAGAAAGTGTAAACCCTTAAAATCCTGCAAATTCTCTTGCCTTTCTGTACTTCTCTGTAGCTTACGATTTACGAACACGTAAGTCTTAGATACCAGGTTTTTAAGCATGTAACCACATATGCGTTAACGTTTGTCGACATCTTTTGTGAAGTTAGTATCACGAATTTTCACTTGATATCAAAGCTGTTTGACTGTTTAATATTGGTTCGACAAACCATTCATTCATATAAGAATATATATATATATATAAGTAGCTTTACATGTTTGCCTTCTTCTTTAGATGATCGAGCTGGAAACCAAGGCAGCGAAATCTGCGGGCCAGTATTGAACTCGAACAAAAATGAAGAGTGATGTTGCTTGCATTTTTATTCAGTACTTGTGAATTTAGCGTGCCTTCCTGAAATGGAAAATAAAATTAAAAAGTCACTACGCTCGAATATCCATTTCATTGTAATATTTTCGTAGTGTCTTTACACAACTCAGAATATTCTTTAAATGTGTGCATCAAAGAAAACGTAGAGTTTAGAAATAATTCTAGACAAGTCATAATTATTATGTTTGGGACTAACGGTCGAAATCAATTTACAGGTAAGTAGAAACTAGTCGAGAAGCTTGTTCGATCTGGTTATTTTATCAGTACCGATGATTTAAACGCGTATACTTAATTTCAACAATGCTAAATATCAATGGTATGACGCAAGGATTTTCAAATCATTCCACAAGAAAGCGACAGTCAGTATCGTAGAGGATAATATCGATATTTGCAGGTCTTTATATCGTTCGTTTAAAAGATCTGTTGAAAAGCTTTATTGTTAACTGACATTCGTCCAGCCATCCACAGCATCACTTAACTCAAGGAGTACGCGTTCGTATACTATGGAATACATTTTTTAGATTTTTGAACAGTGCAAAAGTAATCACCTTTGAAATATATATACAGTACTTGTTGCTTTCGATAAACACAGAAATAAGTAAAACCGCTTATTGTGACCAATTTTCATACAAAAATTACTCACCAAATAGGCTTCTTGCGTGCTTTTCTTTGGCCTGGTTGTTTACGTTCCGCAAACCGGTTATCCTGAGACAATAAACCAGTTACCAATAGTCTATTTTTCCCCTGATCTATCGGAAGCATTGAGGCCAAACACCTGGCTATCGCCAAACGAAGAGCGTTCGCTAAACTGCTCGAACCGTCCCCGCTTACTGTAGCAATTATGTCTACTTTACCAACAGTATCTGAAAAAGTGAAGAGGTTTCTATATACTAAAATTGCATTCAGAGTTCGTGCGACATATATTGTAGCAATCATTTCAAAATCTAATAAGCTCTCACAGCTTTAGAATTCATAGGATCTGATGACAATTATAAGGAGTCTAACACTGACATTTCGCTAATCATGTGACGCAGCCGATGTGATTCCCAGAAAATAAGCGGAATGATTTTGGTATTCCCTTGCAACACCTCTTTTTTCATACACTAAATTTAGGTACGTGTAATGTATGTTCTAGACAATTGTTATAAAAATCCTAGTGGTATGTGTGAGCAGATATTATCAGGCTGTTTCCCATCATAGGGAATGTATTAAATTATTTGTGTTGGTTGAGTGAAAACTGTACCAACAAATTCATTTCTGGCTTGTACCGTAAATACTTATTGTATTAGGAATGTTTATGTGCAGTCTAAAGGCTGCTGCCATTGGTTCTTTTCCTTTACGAACAATCAGGTGCAACAAATATAACCCAATATGACTGGGAAGTTATTTGCTTCAGAGTAAATCTTTGCATCCTTTAACTCTCCCAGGATTTGAACAAAGTAGTAAAGGAAATTGATATGTGGACGAGAATGATAATGATTGGTTGTCTCCAAAAATTAGGCATGTAGATAGTCTGACAGGCCTTAGATAAGTTATATATGCCCCTATCCTTATTATTGAGTGTTCATTGTTGTTGGATTGTGTCGCGTTTTGGTGTGGAATATATTTAGGTCCTAGTCAGGCTAAGCACGTGTTCTTGATCTCAGTTGTGTTGAAGTCCTGTAGAATAGACACTGGAAGGGGATCTAGTGTAGATATTCGTCTAAGGTAAATTAACGTCCCATATGTGTAGGTGAAGTAAAACCGAGCGTTATAACAAAAATATTTACGAAATACGACGAATTCGTTGCTTTCTGTTCAGTTATGTCCAAGCTAAGAATGTTAGTTATTTCCAATTATTAACATATTGTTCAATTTGAAAAAATTGAGTGTCAATAACAATCCAGTTGTTCGTAGTGTGAAAGAAGTTAAAGATGAAATTGATCTCGGTCATTAGTTTTCTCTGCCATAAACTAGGACAATGGTTAGCTAACAAACTAAAACCAGTTTGTGAAGAGTTGGCTGTATGAAGTTTATTGGAAACTTGAATTCGCAGAAGTACGAGATCAAATAAACTTATGGTCTCATAAGTTGTACATTAATTGTTTACCAGTATCCTTTTGGAGTAGATAACTTACACTACTAACCAATATTCATAAGGTATATCCACACCATCGGAAGGATGGAGGGGCTACTCGTTTAACTAAAGCAAATCGGAGAAGGCAAGGGAGTCAACTCGATTTAACCAAACGTAAATCAATATTTATAGCCAGATTGAAGTAAGCTACAGACATGTGATGAGTAGACTAAGATGTGCATATACATCGCTCATTTGAAAGGTCAGAATAAATAGGCCAATAAGTGACAAGGTCAAAACGTGCATTATACTAAGCGGTAATTGTTCTCAGTAATTTAAGTCTATCATCCTCAACTACTTTCACGCCACCACAGTTCATTTCTTCAAATTGAACAATATAATAATAAATGTCAGTAATTAAAATTATTAGCTTGGTCATAACTGAAGAGAAAACAATGGATTCGATGTATTCTGCAGACAGTCATATCTCCTAAGTTGAGCTTTGTGAAGAAAACCCGTAGCATGAAACTCAGGGGTTTTTAACAATTTCAGTCCACTTTCGTTGGTCCATTAGGGAATTTTGCCTTTGATAATTCTCATGTGTTGAGTTGCTTAAAGCCGACTGCTACTTCATTAAATTTAGGAGTAGATTTGTTTTATTTTATTGTCTTGTTTTTTTTTATTTACCGTAAACTGTGTAGTTTTTGGAATAAATTTTAAAAAGCTATGTGATAAATGTATTTGCTCTGTGGTAATAGTAATACACTACTTTGTGTTTGAGCTCGGATTGGCGTCAAAATAAAAGCATATAGAAATAGTCTCATTAGACGATTGTCAACTGAGAGTAATAAGTATATATCCAAATGATTGTACTGCTTGATCGTCTACTTTCCAAGATTTGAAGAGAAGTGGTTGGGAATTATAACTTGACTTGGTTTTAGCTCGACTTCTGATCACATTAGTTCACATAGAAAAATAGAGATTTGTGCTTCTTAACCTCAAATGTCACCAAACATTTCACTGGGACTCGTAGAGAGCGAACCAGTTAAACTCGTAAGTTGATGAGATTGTAAATCTTCATTGACTGAGATGGCTGGGCCACGCGTTACGTATGCCCGAACACCGTTTACCACGATGCGCAATGCTGGCCAGTGATGGGAATGGTTGGAAGAATGTTAGGGGTGGCCAAACCAAAACGTGCCATCCGTGCTTGAATTCACTACTGGTCTGAGCCGTGTTGGTAGATGCAGACTACTTGGTTGGTGTTCGCGTGACTGTCGTAACCAATGGTCGGAGACTCTGGGTGACATGGCTCAGAATCGGTCGGCGTATACACTCTTCGTCTTCCCTCAAACCGTGAGATTAAAATTGCTTTATACCTTACTTTCTACCGACTAATTCTTTCTTCCTGTGCTATATCCTAATACACAATCTATTTTATACACTACTACCAGTGAAGTATCTGCTTTTATGAATTTGGTGTTCATCTTGTTGTGCTAATGAGATGTGGCAACTTGTACCGATACATATATGCGCCTGGTCCTACGTTGTATTTGACTGCACAAAATGGGAACAAAAGAAAACAGAAAAGCGACACAATGTCGAGTGGAAACGACTGTTACCAAATAATTGTGAATATAATTTGAGGATGCGATATTTTTTTCGGTTTTGATTACCATTTAATTTGTGTGTGAGTTATGATACTGTCCGTTTGCTCAAACTGTAGCACATGGTTTTCTTAGGGAGCCTGTCCCCAAATCCTTGACCTAGAAGTCTAATCCACCAGACAACATAACGTTATGAGATGCAGTAACGTGGTAGCTGGTCACCAACAATAGGTTCATACGCCATTTGATCTCTCAGAATCCTGGAGCTTAAGTGCACTATTGTTTTAGAATCAGGGATTCCTAACCGTCCTAATTTGAATACTCCGTACCCACTAGCCCGGTTTAAGCACCAGACTCTGGCTGTTCATCCTCTCAGTTAATTAGGCGACACCCTGCTGCGAGACGCCAGTTAGTGAGAATTCCCTAGTAGAGACTATATACACGCGGCCATATGAGAGCATTTAAAGAGGAGCGGTATTTCTCCACTCTTGGCTGTACCAAGGCTGCAAGTAGTTAGAGAAACAGGATTTTTTCCCTAAATAATTCTATTATATATCACTTGGATCTTCAAAAACGCAATCCAAAGTAGAATATTTAAAAACTTGCTTGTTTGCTGTAAAGGGAATACTATTTGTTCTCGATTTCCAAGCTCAGGAAATATTTCTAGAAGTCGTGCTCCGTTTACAGTGAAGTCACCAGTGCCAGGCATGTATAGTGTTACTTCAGCAAGCGAGTTTTTCTTTTGACCGAATGCTTGGACACATTTTCTGTTTGTTACTGAGTCCATAAATGGCTAAAAAGTCAATTTGTCTGACATAATTAAACCAACCTCGGGAAGTTTAATTTCTGAAGTAGGACCGCATATTTGGGCTTTGTAATGCCGAATAAATTCTTCCACCAGATACGACAATGGGTGTTCTGATAAACGCTTCATTAAAACTAACCACTGTTTATACTGTCACAATTATAACATAATATATCTGGACAAATACTCAATACCTGTGCATCCGATATGGTTTCGTTAATCATTTTCATGAGATTTATTTTCGACATAAAGTCGCTTGACGTCGCATAACTGAAAGCGAAAGCAAGTGGGTAGTTGATTAGCAAAGTAACTAAGGTCAAACATTTTAAGTGCAATCAAATTGTAAAAAGATGTTTGTAAAGCGGCGATCGTTGGGTGATTTCAACTCAGATATTCATCAGTTGCAAATGACTGCTTCTAACCAATGATGACGAGTCACTGCCCGGTTGAAAATTGTATGCTTCCACCAAATACGAGTACTGAAGCAGTTTTTCTGAAACCACGTGCACCATTCGAACTGGCTGCTCTCAAAGTCCGCACACTTATGCAGGTCGGACAACTGATAGGGCTCGCTGTGTCTTTGGAAAGTCTTAATATAGACGTTTGTTGTCTATCCGAGAACCCTATTCAAGACTCTGGTGAATTACTACTCCATCGACGTCTAGTACGATGGGCAGAATTCTTCGAAGGGCAGTTCAACTGGCCTGCTCCTCCGGCAACATCGGTCAGACTGTCCTGTCCTCCATGGTCGCTGACGACTGATCCACCAAATCAGGCGGAAGTCCGCAAGGAACTCCACCTCTTGAAGCGCTACAAATCACCAGGCCCAAATGACTTGCCTCCAGCTCTTTTTAAAGATGGTGGTGACTTTCTGACTAAGGAACTGACGACGTTGTTTACAAAGTTTTGGGAGCTAGAGAGTGTACCAACGTCATGGAATGAGGCGTTAGTTGTCTCTATCTTTAAAAAGGGATCACATCGTTCCTGTAACAACTATCGGGGGATAAGTCTACTTCCGATTGCGTCCAAGCTATTGGCTTCCGTCATACTTCGTAGGTTGTTCAAAACCCGAGAAAGATTGACTCGCGAGGAGCAGGCTGGGTTTCGTTCTGGTCGAGGATGTATTGATCATATCTTCACCCTCCGCCAAATGTTAGAACACCGTAGAACTTATTACAGGTCAACAATCGTAGTGTTTCTTGACATCAGGACTGCGTTCGATTCGTTGAACAGGACTGTCCTCTGGAATTGTCTATTGAAGAAGGGTGTGCCTGAGAAGTTTATTAACAGCCAGCTTTGATGGATGTTAGTAATGGTGGTGTGGATCTGTTGCCTGGAGAAAGACTTCTCGACCTTGAGTATGCGGACGATATTGTCGTACTGTGCGATAATGCCCAAGCCATGCAATCCGCACTTAATCAGTTGGCAATCAATGTCCGTAGATATGGTATGTGCTTTGCACCTTCGAAGTACAAAGTACTTTTACAAGACTGGCAGGATTCTAATCCTGTACTCACTTTGGGTGGTGAGCAGGTAGAAGTAATCGAGAATTTTGTGTACATGGGTAGATGCATAAGTGCCGGTGGTGGCGTGAGTGATGAGATCAATGCACGAATAGTGAAAGCCAGAGCGGCTTATGCCAATCTGGGCCATCTATGGCGCCTTCGTGATGTTAGTCTGGCCGTAAAAGGTCGGATCTACAACGCGTCGGTGAGAGCAGTTTTGCTCTATGCTTGTGGAACCTGGCCTCTCCGAGTTGAGGACGTTAGACGACTCTCTGTGTTCGATTATCGCTGTCTCCAAAGGATTGCTGACATCCAGCGGCAACACCATGTCAGTAATGCAGATGTTCGGCATCGTGTGTTCGGGCACAGAGATGATAATGCAATCGATGTCACCATCTTGAAACACCGATTTCGGTGGCTTGGACATGTTCTACGAATGTCGTCCCAGGGAATTCCACGTCGTGCATTATTTGCGGACGCGCGGACTGGTTGGAAAAAGCAGAAAGGTGGTCAGTGTATGACATGGTGTCGCGGAATAAAAGAAAGCTGCAAAGGACTGGCTTCTGTCGGTCCTTCACGACTTCATGGTTGGGGTGCTAGAGATTGTGCGACACATTGGCTAGAGACGTTATCATATATGGCTCAGAATAGAAGCCAGTGACGATCCTGCTGTAACGTTCTTTTACTTTCTTCCTAAAAGGTGGTTGTATCTTCTTTATCTGAAAGAATTCTTCTGGTTGTACCTTTCCGTTCTCCCCATTATTATTATTACACTTCCTTACACTAATCTGGTCGTTATTGTTCTTTTTTTTCTTTTACGCTCCTTATCTTTTTTCTCACCATTCTCATTGTTTTGTGTGGCGCATATGTATTTGTTGCCCCGTTGTACCAATATTTATGTGTTCAAATAAATAAATAATAAATACTAACTACATAGTATGGTTACATCGAAGATTCAAACCTCTTCTGCACAATCCAACACATCCCTATTTAACAGATGACAAGTTTATGGAATGATCTATTCACATTTGACCTATCTGATCATTTTAGTGACTTTCAGATGAAATTTTCGTTACATAAGGAATATAACTGTTGAACAAATAACTTTCGCACCTCAATTATTCTGTAACCAATATGAATCAGCAACATAAAATACCGGTTTCCTTAATGAATACTTCACAACTACCAACTCGACTTTCACATCACATTTCAGTTCTCTGTTAGTGAATTTTGAGGGAAGTACTCATCACAATAAACGGTGACTCATGGCAAAAATCATGAACGTGTAAGCAACGAAAACTGAATACATGAAATTCAAAAGAAATGTCTGTGATGAGGATTTACAGGAGTTTCTCACGAAAGATATCTCCAATTTCAAGCACCATAGATATATTTGAAATAAGCTCCTAAGTGAAAGATGGAAGTTTGGTCAGCATGTCATTTCTGGATTGCGATTAGTGTATTTGAAGGTAAACAGCATAGAAGAGAGTTTTTCGAGCCTGAATTTGCCAATATTTTTGACTGATGATTTAAACGACAAAGATGCCATTAAAGTCAGATTACAATACATCCATTAGGACACTAGCTTCTTTAGGAAAACCTTGTTAACTATTCAAGACCAGCTAATAAGCTTGTTAGACTTTGATTTTAATTTAATACTCACCAACTATGTGCAACATCTGACAAGATGACACGGCTTTAAGAACTGGAAGTTTAGTCTTAACGTGATTTGTATTTCTCAAAATTTCGCTGTCCTCAGGCAAAACAAGTACCGTATTTTTTAACCAAAGAATCTGTCCTGACCTTAACGTCCCATAGATTACCTTTATTTTTATGTTTTAACCAAGTTATGAGTTAACTGTGATTTTCCATTAGCTGAATATTCAGTTGCATCAGTTTTTCAAGTCAATGCTAGTTTTAGTGTATCCTGACCTTCCGTAACACCCGTTTCCACTCACTTTATGTTTTGAGTGTATTATTTTTAACGTTTGTGAACTTTTGCTGAGATCAATTAAATAATTCACATAACATAGTCATGAGGAATTCATGCGAGCGACCAAGATGCCGTTTTGCTGTCACCAGTAGCATACAGTGTGACAAATGCGAAGGTTGGTTTCAAAAAGCATGCACAAATTTTACAGTAACTGTTTATAAGAGACGTAACCAGTCAGTGAGCTACAACGTAGGACCAGGCGCATATATGTATCGGTACAAGTTGCCACATCTCATTAGCACAACAAGATGAACACCAAATTCATAAAAGCAGATACTTCACTGGTAGTAGTGTATAAAATAGATTGTGTATTAGGATATAGCACAGGAAGAAAGAATTAGTCGGTAGAAAGTAAGGTATAAAGCAATTTTAATCTCACGGTTTGAGGGAAGATGAAGAGTGTATACGCCGACCGATTCTGAGCCATGTCACCCAGAGTCTCCGACCATTGGTTACGACAGTCACGCGAACACCAACCAAGTAGTCTGCATCTACCAACACGGCTCAGACCAGTAGTGAATTCAAGCACGGATGGCACGTTTTGGTTTGGCCACCCCTAACTTTCTTCCAACCATTCCCATCACTGGCCAGCATTGCGCATCGTGGTAAACGGTGTTCGGGCATACGTAACGCGTGGCCCAGCCATCTCAGTCAATGAAGATTTACAATCTCATTAACTGATTTGCCATCATTCACTAATACTACCCTGCGTCTAACCTCACTATTACTTACCCGGTGATCCCAGCAGATGCGAGCAATATTTCTAAGACTTACGACTTATCGACTATATTTCGCCAGCGTAAAGTAAAACAGATGGGTATCTCGCCTTTGCCATAGGTGACGTAAGTTGGCAAAAGCCAAGTGAGCTTTTCGAATCCGTGCTGAGATTTCGTCAGACACCAACCCATTAGGGCTGATCAGACTTCCAAGATAAGTGAAGTTGTCAACGCGTTCGACTACTTCACGCCCTATCCTCAGTTCAGGTGTTGACACAGGCCAATCATGAAGCAACAACCTGAATTTAGAGGGGGAGAAACGCATCCCAAACATCCTGGCATTGTTGCTCAGTGCTACCGAAAGACTGCATTTTATCAGCGTCCTCGCCAACACAGGACTATATCATCTGCGTATTCTAAGTCGATAAGTGGACCTCCTGGTAGGAGATCAATGCCCGATAATTCAGTCAATGAGAGCATTATTTCCATCAGTAGATCTTTGATTAAGTTAAACAAAAATGGAGAAAGTGGACAGCCTTGACGGACACCACTTGAGGTTGCGAAATCAGATGACAGTTCACCATAACCTCTGACTAAAGTGGTAGTGTTCGAGTAAAGATCCTTCACAAGGTTTACGTACTTCTGAGCTACACCTTTCAATGACACACACTGCCAGAGAATCTCGCGGTCTACGGAGTTAAATGCTGTTTTTAAATCAAGAAAGACCACCATTGTCGGACGCCGATAAGCATGCCTGTGTTCTCAAACCTGACGAATGGTGAATATGTGGTCGATGCAGCCACTACCAGGTCTCACCCCCTACATGCGGTACGGTCGAGAGTGGGGATAGACTGCTCTCCTTCTAAAAATGCTCTCACATGGCTTTGTATTTACAGCTACTGCCATTTTCTCGTGTTTGCAGTTCATGACTTTTATTAGCTGCCCGATAATTATTGAAGCTAGTATTTTAGATGCTATGTTAGTCAAACTGATCCCTCTATGGATGTCACAGGATGATTTTGACCCGTTCTTATATATTGGAACAACTAGTGATTG